TTATCCATCTGATCAGTACTGTTTAGTGCTTTGCCAGTCAAGCATGTGCTCGCAGCTCCATACGCTCTCAGTGTGGTCTGACATTTTTGTTTGCCTGTAAGTGTGCTTTTGTGTGCAGCTAAGTGTGATGAAACAGTTCTCATCTTGTGATTTGTAACATAAAAGTGGGTCTTTGAATCGTCTGTGTGCCTGAATTACTGGATGTGAGGCAGTATCCTGTGTATTTTGTTGTGGCAGCTCTTTATGCAGGGCAATTACTGCTGCTTTTAGTTCAACCTGTTTGTATAGAACTGTTGCTTGGACCTTTAAAAGGACAAAAAAAGTATTCTTGCAAACCATTCACAAATTAGCAGCTGATGATCATGAGATCAAACTAACCCAAGATAAAAAGAAAATTTAGTTAAATCAGTCATTCATGTCTTGAAACAAAGCTGTAATTCAGTTTTTTTACCATTCTTCTGGGAGTAATGTAACATTTTAGTCATGACGAAGTGAGGGCAGTTCAGCTGAGAAGTGTGTGGCTAGAACCTTCTTTCTTCATTGTTATTCCCTGTTGATAGTTTGGAAAAAAAATCAGAACTACGGGGAACAAATCCAGGTGTGTGTCTTTCTACAGTGTGCATGTATATATATATATATCTTACGTGTCCAATGGATGGGAGGGCATAAAAGGACCTTACCTGTAATTGCAAGTGCTGTATCAGCCACTGATTCTCTTACTGTTTCCTAGCTGTTAGAAGCAGTTGTAGTTCAAGTCTGGACTACAGGACTTGTCAGACTATAGCAGAGATGATAATTTAATCTCTTAATCCTTCTTGCTCTTTAGACTTTCTCAGAAGAAACCTGAGAAGAAATCCATCCCCATAGTGGTGGCTTTCTCCTGTTATGGTGGACTAAATGCTTCTGCTATAGCTGCCTCCAGGTAGGCTCCTCTGTCATCCTCGGCGTACCCTTGCAAATGCTCCATTCTTTCCCCTGTTGCCAGCTCATTTGTTTTTATAAATGCACTTCACTACTCCCAGAAGTAGTGGTAGTTAAAGTGGAATTGGTCAGGTGCTCAGTTCAGAGCCCAGGTCTAGCTCATTTGTGGAGGATCCGTGATTGTACCATTGCAGTTTTACCAGAAAGCAGGCACTAACTCCTCACTCTCCCCATTTTTGGGGGTTTTTTTCCCTCTTGGTACAGTGCACGTGGTGTATGTGCTTGATAACTCGATTGCTTTTTGTAGTTTTCTCTGCTCTTCTTTCTTATGCAAAATAACCCCCTGACCTACCTACACAGTTGAATGCTTATTGTGGCCACTTTTACTTACACTTCAGTAACACTTTCTGCAAGAAACACTGTAGCGATCTTTGGTTTTGTCATTGCTCTCAAAAGATTATAGCTCGGCTTTGGAGAAGACGTTTCTTGGCATCTGTTAAAATGGGGGTATTGAAGGATTTATAAATGTGTACTCTGAAGTATAAAAGTGTGTTTGTCTGAGTAGTAATACACAAACTTGGCTGATTTTTATGTTAGAAATGAGGGTGAAACCCTTTCAGAAAACACCTGCATAAAGGCAGGTTAAGCTAGTTAATATCACTAGGAAGTTTAGCCAAACTTCAGGTACCTTTCAACTTTGTTTTGCTGAAAGATCATTTTGCAGGCAGATCTACTTGGCAAACCAAGCTGAACTTTCTAGATCATTCCCAATAAAAATTCCCTTTTGCCTTACCTCACTTAGCGATGAGTTGAGTTAAGCTCTTGAAGTTAATGCTCCACTCTTTGCTCTCTCAGGAATCCCAACTACAACATCAGAAAGTACATTGGAAATGACTCTGTTTGGTAAAGGCTGTCACGAGATTATTCTCTCTTTTGAAGAGGCTCACGTCTACAGATCTAGGGAAATTATTTGACTTTGAGCTGGATCGGCAGTTGTTATACATTGTATAGCTTGCATCCAATTATGTTGAATCTGTAACTTCTTGATCTGTGTATAATTTGTGGCAGTGTGATACCACAGATTTGCCTTAACTCTCTGTGGTTTTTCCTGTGCATATGAGCGATTGCTGTTTTCCAGGATGTGTGAAACAACATTAGCATATCTTAGAAAGATTGGATATACATTATAGGATGGAAATGGCCTTTGTGTTAGTCCCACATCTGGCATTCGACACTGGCCCGTTACTAGATGTTTCAAAAAGAAATGGAAAATGCTTGCAAAGAACAAATGCCAACCTGCCTTTTTGGGGGAAAAAGTTTCTCCAAATGACATATTAGCATATTGCATCCTGCAGCATAAGATTTCAGTCATAAATTTTCTCTCTCTTCTTTAACTTTAGCTGTTAATATTACTTATCTAAATGCTTATCCTTTAGGCAACCTTACTAAACATCTTAATTCTCTAACATCTTATTGAGTGAGTTCTGTATCTTAGCTTTGTTTATTTAAAAAAATCCTTTAGCAGTTTTAAGTTTGGTATCTAGTAATTTCACTTGCTGTTTGGCTGCGGAAATCAGCAGTCCAGGTTTAAATCATCCTTTAAAACATTACAACAATTGCCTATTAGATTTTTCATCCTGTCCTCATTCTTACTCGTTCTGGAGAAGTTGTCTTCATTCACTGGATCATTATGAATTACATTCTGCTTTGGGAGACCAGGTTTCTCAGACCTGCATTTAGAGCCAATAAGGATCTGAGGGAAGCGCTGTGTGTTCTAGTAATTATTTATTCTTGAGCAGCAGAAATCTTTTATATACAGTAATGTAAATTATTAGTTGCTTGTTCAGTTTCAATTGACTGAAAATGGTTAATCCATGGTATACAGAGCACATTTCTTCATGGCATGGTCTTTTGCTATTCATACATGGATTGGTTCTTTTATACTTTTCTCGTGTTGATTTTTATGATTTCTGTGGGAATCTGTGTGTGTGCATTTTTCCACCCCTGTGTTGAAGCTCCATTTTGAGGGAAGCTATACTAATATGTATAGACTAAAAGAGCTCAGGAAGAGAGGTGCTTTAGTAAGAATCAGGGTGACTAATGCAGTTGATGCATTGACTTTGAACCTTTTGGCAAGGTTCCCATTGGAGTGATTATAGGCTTTTGCATTGTCCCTTAGCAGCAGGAAATCCTATCTGCCTTTGCTGAGGCTTAACTAAATTACACAAAAGGATGGAATATTTTGCTTTTTAGTTTAAATGGTGGTTTGCAGCTAAGCAGAGTTGGATTCTGAACCTTAACCTGGATAATGTGCTGAACAAAGCACTTTGTCATCCCAGACAAAGAACAGGAAACTTTAACCGGCCAAGCTTTGTTTTATGTCAGGAATTTTGTCTGGATTTTATGGTTTAAAGATTGACGTTATATGCAGGGTTTTGTCTCATGAAAATCAATTGTTCATTTCACACAAAAAAAATTCATATTAAGTTATTTAGGCTTTTTTTGACCTACAAAACCAATTCAGAAAACAGATAAGGAACTGCTTTTGTCTATCTCGTTCCTGGAGTAATTAAATCAAAATTTGACCACAGTTAAATCCAGATAGCTTTATATGCTATAAACAAAGGCCAGTTCTGAACGTTAATCCACTTGGATTGAACTTCTTAGCTCATAAATGTTATGATGAAGACCGCTAGTTTAAAGGGGAGGTCAAGGGAGAGATGTTTCAAAATACTAAAATATTAAAAACTGAATAATTTTTTTGTAATAGAAAAGACAGACTTGCAGAAAGCTGAACTAGTGTGTATGTTTTTTATGTCTGAGGATCTTGAAACTGATAAAGCAAGAGAGAGCTAAGAAAGTGATTTAGAGAAAGCTTCATAAAAAGGTTTAGATTACTGCTACCTGCCGAGATATAAAATGTTCTAATACCCCCAAAATCCTTGGGGTTTGTTTGAATACCACATATACGTAAGTGGTACATATACCTTTCTGTTTCTATAAATAATGATTTCATACTGTCTAATATAGACAGGATCCTTTTGCTACCGTGACTGTTAGTTTGCTGCAGTAAAAGAAATCACAGCAGTAATTGAGCTATCAGTAGGTAGAATTGGGATAGGAAGGCTTCTCCCCATTTCCTCTGGACACAGCATGAGCAGTTTTCTGCTTAACTCCACACATTAATGTTCAGACATGTACAATACTTATACGAAGATGGGATTTAGAATAGTTGTCAGTCTTCATGTATTAAATTTCTTGATTTTTCAAACATTTTGTCTGAAATTCTAAGTCTCTCTCCCTTTTTTCTCCATCCAGGAGGCTGAACAGAATTGACCAGGACAATATCTTGCAAATTATTACCCGTTTTCATTATAGGTCCCAGATCACTGCCAATCGATGACTCTTCTCTTACCACTTGCTGTGAAACTTTGATGCTCCTGGCTTCTTGGTTTCAGAGCTCTATCATGGAAAGTCACCATAGATGGCCTGCAGTATGGTCTAGCAACATTAACAAATGACTGCTAATAAGATACTTTGTCATTTGCCATGTTGTGAGAGTAGAGCCCAGAGGCTCTACTAGTGGAGCTAAAGGAAAAGAAGAGGTTGCTTAGGAAACTGAAAGAAAGGAAAATAAAACAGATTCCTGGAATAGTGTCCGTAAACAGTAGGTGTGATGGTGGCTATGTTTATCACCTGCAATATGACACTTCCCTTTTTGGATGTGTAATAATATTTTCGTCCTTTATTCTCCATAGTCACTATGTTACACTTGAGTTCTGTAGTTCAGTTAGGTAATAAAATATATTAGTGAGAAAATTCTAAAAACATTTTGGATTTTTTTGTGAGCAGAAAATGTGAGTTCAGGTGCTTTGCTAAAGAAGTTTATGCTTATGTAGAATCCATAAATAAATAAATAAATAAATAAGATGTGTGCTTCTTTGTGCTGCATTATGGATTGTCCTTACTTTATTACTGTTTTTCCATACCAACTTACTACAAAAGCTTTGATGTCACTGTTTTACATATCCTTTGTTGCAGATATTTACATGTTTCCTTTTTCTTTTCCCTTTCATTAGACATTTGCTGACCAGGTATTTGGTATCTTCAGCTGGACAATTCCTATTGCTGTAGCCTTTTCTTGTTTTGGTGGCCTTAATGCTTCAATTCTAGCGTCATCAAGGTAGCACATATCTCCTTCTCTTTGACAAATGTTCATAAGTATTTTTACATGGCACTGTTATGCTCATCTGTTATGAGAGTGGCAAAAATACTTTTGTAACTGAATCTATAATGAGTAGCCACAATAAAATAACAGACCTAAATAAACCTCTGCGCGTGTACCTAAACCCTTAACACTGCTTTACTTCCCCAAAGCATTCCTAGCTGTATGCAGAATAGAATTACAGATCAAATGAATGTTGTCTGTGTGGTGAGTCCTCTGGCCTTCTGATTATTTGGATTGAGTTATCTTCCATTTCACGTGATGCAATAATTCTAGCAAGTTCTTGTTTTCAAATGTATTTACTTAAAACTTACTGAATTTTAAAAATCTTAGTATCTTTAAGTTTTTCTCCAAGTAAAAAGTTGTAAAAGTTGCTACTGCTATTAAGCTGCAGCCAAAAGGCTTAGGATACAGTATAGAAACTTTCCTCTGAGCACTGATTATGAATGTGACTAGTGAAAGTTTTAACTAGATTTATTCAGTCATTGTAACATCCTTCCTGTCCATTGAATGTGTGGTCAGTGCCTCTGTACTGAGAACAAATATGGACATGACCTGGTGAAGTAGTCAATACAGAAAATTTTGCAGTTAATAATAAAATTATATGTGTTTGTTTCTTGAGTGTGTGGTTGAGTGAGCTCTTTTTAGAGATCTGGTGATCTCTTCTGGTTAGCATTCTGCTATAAGCTGGAATGTTTTCAGTGCAACTTTTAAGGATTTTTTAAAACAGTAGAAATTTACTTCAGTTACTGTAGAGGTTTTCTATTTTACCTGTAGGATTGTTTTTTAAAAATTGGTTGCTAACAGCATGTTTCTAAAAGCTTATATATCTTTTAATGGTTGTTGCATGGTACATCTTTACAAGTAGGGTTGAATTAATGTTCCTGGTTTAAAGGATGGAAATTCATCAGTGTAAATACTTAATGTTGACTGGTATTGTTGTTGTATTTTTTTTGTAATACATTATGACTCACCTGTGGCCTCAACGTCTGTTTTCTGGCTATATTTTCTTCAGGCTATATTTTGTAGGATCTCGAGAAGGTCACCTTCCTGATCTGTTGTCTATGATCCATGTAGGGAGGTTCACACCTGTGCCAGCACTGCTTTTCAATGTAAGTTATGTACTGGTTTTCTTTTCAGCTGTTCAGATGTGACTGTATGAAATATTTAAAGGAAAACTTTAAAAAAATCACAAGAGAACTTCAGGTTTCCTGTTATTGAGGTGATTTCTGAGAGAGTGATTTTTGAGGCATAAAACAGTGCCAAATACCAAGGAGTATAAGGTGTTACTTTAAGGCAAAAAGCAGCATAAGCAGTAAGTTTCAAAATTCTGTTGTTCATCACACTCTTGTTCTTTTCTGACAGTGTGCTATGACCCTTATTTACCTGGCTGTGGAAGATGTTTTCAAGCTTATTAATTACTTCAGTTTCAGTTACTGGTTTTTTGTTGGTCTATCTATTGCTGGGCAATTGTATCTACGTTGGAAGGAACCAGATCGACCCAGGCCTCTTAAGGTACTATTTACTTATTACAGACTTGGTTAAAATCCCTGTCTTCCACATGATGTAAAAGTACTGTCTAAAATCTGGACCATACCTGTTATGCGTATAGGTTACAAATCGATCAGGACATAAAACGTAACTTCCATTTTATATTGCACCATGAGAGCTAGCTTGTCTGCTAGATAAGAATAAGTGATTGTTGTAATAGCATGCTCTCTTATTGTACGTTAGTTCAATCAGTATTCCTTCTGTCAACTGGAGAATGTCTCAATAGGCTAACATAGTAACTAGCCTTTTTTCTTGGATTAGAAATCTCTAATTAGGAACACTTATGTTAATTAATACTGTCAATGTGGACCAGATTTAGCTCTCATGGTGTTTCAGTTCAATATCTGATCCTCTTTATCACCTTCTTATACTTTAAGTTGATATTCTGCGCAAAAAAGTCATTCTTGTTTCCTGAGTTTCATGAGATTTGTCTAAAAACACTTTATGCTGTTACGCAGTTTCTTTCAACACAGCAGAGTTACCATACTTGATTACTTCTGCAATTTTTAGCAGCAGTTCTGTTCAAGAATAATTCTGCAATTTGCTAATGGTTCCAAATAGCCAAATGTATAAGAGGAGGAGCAGATAATTTCACAAAGTGGGATTGAGAGGGAAAAGTCTATAACTCTCACCAAAATGTCTGTAACTGTAGACAACAAATATTTCAATATTCTGTTCTGTTTTTTCTGTCTGCAGCTTAGTGTGGCTTTCCCAATAATATTCTGTATATGCACAGTATTTCTGGTGGTAGTGCCGCTCTACAGCGACACTATAAATTCATTGATTGGAATTGCCATTGCTTTATCTGGAATTCCAGTCTTCTTCTTGGGAGTCTATTTACCTGCATCAAGGAGACCTCATTTTTTCAACAAGATTTTAGGTAAGTTTCTTTGTAAATGGAGATGTTTTTAGGAAAGTGGAAAATTAAATAAGAGAATCTCAGTTTGTTGACGAAAAGGGTTGTGGTCAGTTGACCTCAGCCGGCAGCTAAGTACCCATTGAGCTGCTCGTTCACCAGCATCCCCCAGCAGGATGAGGGAGAGAAGAGGAAGCACAAAGGTGAGAAGACTTGGTCAAGGTAAAGACAGTTTAGTAAGTGAAAGAAAGTGGGGGGAAAAAAACCTGCTGCTGCAAAGGCAATAACCACCGCTGACAAGCAGAATGATGGTGCAGACAGCGTCCAAGCAACAGCCACATGCACGCACTTCTTCCTCTACCCCAGCTTTTATTGCTGAGCATGACATTATATGGCATGAAGTACCCTTTTGCCTAGTTTGGGTCAGCTGTTCTGGCCATCTCCCCTCCAAACCTCCTGCCCAACCCCATCCTGCTGGTTGCAGGGAGGGCAGAGTGAGAGGGGAAAAAAACCAACAAACCAAGCCTTGATAACTGTGCAAACACTGTTCAGCAACAGCCAAAACATCAGTGTGTTACCAACCCTGTCTGGGCCACAAATCCAAAACACAGCGCTGTATGGGCTGCTATGAAGAACATGAACTGCATCCCAGCCAGACCCAGTAAAGGGGTACACTGATTTTATATTATGTTTTTACACCCAGATTTTATTTACTGTACATTTAAAAGACCATCCACTTTCTACAGATTTTGTCCTTAGTTTTTATGCATTCTTTTTAATCAAGCCCATGAAAAGTCTGTTTTTAAGCAAGGTTGATGACTGTAACAAGGCTGGACATTCTTGGTAAGGAAAGCTGTCTTGCTTTACTGAATCAGTTGTTTGAAGCTGGATAGATTTTGTGTCAGTCACAGATGGAATTCTGCCTTCTGTTGAATTGCTGCAGTTACATGATACATTTCTCTCCAGCAGTACACTGTTGTTACTGTGTGAGAAAACCCTGATAAAGGGATGTGGAAAGGAAGGTTTATAGCATCATCTTAGAATGCAACAGGATGTGGTGCTGCAGCAGCTAGTGAATATGTAAAAATATTCTGTAATCTTGTCACTTTCCTGTGTGCTATTTGAAGTTCTGGTTTTATTCTTTTATTCTACTCATTTTACACTCTTAATTATACAGAAGAAAGATTTTACTTCAGTTACTTGGGGTGCCTAAGAAGAAAAACACCTTAGGATATCAACAGAACAGTTTTAAACATTATGTGTTTAAAAAAAATTGAGTGGAAGACACATTTGTATTAACGTTTATAGTTTGTTTTCCTTAAGAGAAGTGAGGCAGCATTCTTGACAACTAACTTTCATCAGTCAGATGCATGTTGTGTAATTAGATTTAAGATGGGTGGCTATTCTTCTGATTTATCTTCAATTTCCTGTGCAGGTGCAGTCACACGAAATGTGCAGCTGATCTGTCACTGTGCTTTAACAGAGATGGACCCAAGTGAAGAAAAGAAGACAGAAATCAAATCCAACTAAAATTCCAAAGCCATTACAAGAAACAGGAGGGAGGATAAAGCAGTTACGACAACAAAAGGGAAGAGATGGAACTGGAAAAAACGTGAAAACTGTTTCCAGTGGTCTTTCAGAAACACTGAAAATGTACTTGCAGTTGGATTCCCACATAAATTGTGCCCTTGTGTCACCCTCCTAAACTGTGGCATATTTTCAGGGCATGTTCTCATTTGATAATGATTACCTACTCATTTCAGGCACGCTCTGCATCAATATTGTTCCTTCTTCAGAATTGGTATTAAAATGGTAAGAGCTAATGGATCAAATTAGATTTCTGCAGAACCAGGCAGTGAAGTTAAGACTGAAAACCACTTTGACTCAAAAGACCAAGTCATTCCAGTTTAATTCTGATGGATATTTGCATGAAATGATTTGCTGTGCTATCTTGGTTCTTATCCCAGAAGACAACTGGTCACAACAAACTACCTAATTTGTCGTTATTAGCAGAAAAATGAATAAAGTTGTGCTACATTACTTAAAAACTGAACCAACCTTTCTCCCTTAAAGATAACTATTTTATAGCATATGTGATATGGAAATGTGGTATCTGACTCTGGCGAAGATTTAATCAACAAAGCACCTTGGCACTAAAGATTTGATTAACATTTGATGATTCTTTCCTGTTAGCTTGTTAGTATTTGGTCAACTTCTCACAGGCTTTATAAACTTCCAAAATTAAAAGGTTCAGTTTGGAGCTTGTAAGCATTTCTTTCTGAACCATTTCAGTAAACACACATTATCAGTATCATCTCAGCAGCCAGAAAATTCTCCTTTCTAAATTTCAGTGCTGTTCACTAGAAAATGACCATCCAGAAACTCACAGAACAAACCACTTTCTTTTTTTCTTCTATACCAGGAGTAAAGTTCTGTGGCAGCAACTACATCCTGAAAGCTAAGTAGCAGGGAGAGAAAATAGGAATAAAACCAGAAATAAAAAGTAGTATTGCAACAGAGAGTGATGCTAATTAGTAGTAATTCCAAAGCTGTAAGCCTAACATCAGGACACTTTGATACTGAATTTTGGTGCAGCAAAAGGTAACATGAAACCAGCCTGTTGGGCTAGCAAAGTGAGATATACTTCAAAAACATACCTGGAATTGTTATCTTTGTTCAGAATGTTTACCTCTGTCGACCTGAGTTTGTCCATATGTGCAGGTTTTTGTGTGTTTAAGTTGAACTAAATCTTATAATCACAAGATCATGGCTGAAGCAACGCATGCTTCAAGTGCTGCACTACATTTGCATCAGCCACTTGAATAATAGTGGGAATATTTGGATTCTTGTGCTGACTCCCTGACCAATGTTATCTTAAACAAAAAGCTACAGATAATGGCAACTGGTAGTAGATGGTGAAACTAACATTAAATGGAGTTTTGGGCTACTTTTATGAAGCAGCATTGGGATTTGAGTAGTTAAATTCTAGCTGAGGAACTTTCTGCACAGTTGGCATGTAAACACGTAGGGTCTTTTCAGTATTTAATGAAAAGTAGCATTTAGCTATTATAATACAGCTTTTTAACCTTGCATACGATTAGAATGAATTCAGTATCTAAGTTAGGACATCTGTGCCTTGGGCAGCACAGCTTTAACAGTGTAGGGCTGTGGCACAGGTTAATAGCCATACTGACCTTGCTGCGAAACCAAACAAAAAAATATTTTGCCTCAGTTCCCTTGCCATCACCAGCCAGAACTAATTGGCCTGAGTCACTGCTGCAACCTACAGCTCATGACTGGTGTTGATCTAACATCTATTAGTAAGATTAAATTGTTTTAAAGATGAATGCAAGTTAAAATGCTGACATGGCTTCAGCTGTACCAACTCCTATGATCTTTAAATGAGTAAAGAAAACTAAGTCAAAAATTCTTTATTTACAATTTATATGCACATATATTGTTCTACTCCAATAGTAAAATTACTGGAGAGAGATCTAGCCATAAAATGGAGAGGTCAAGGCACGTCATATGCTCAAACACTTGTAGAGACAATAACTTAAAACTTAGGAACAAATACAGCAGAAAGCACTAGGAGAGGGTGTCTTTTTCCAGTCTTCTTCCACTTGCCATCAGGGCAGACATGTTGATCTTGTGAAACCTGACGCATTAGTCACGACAAGAAGGGCTGCTGCCAACAGTACCTCCACTTATAATGTTGAGGTACTATCAATGCTTGGCAGGGAACTTTGAAAAAAAAACTCCTTCAGGATCACAGAATGGGCATAAAAATTTAAAGCATATAGCATCTTTTGCTTTGAATGAAAATTTGTATTGTCAAGTGGCCATATTCACACCCATCTGTTTAATATCTACCAGCTGAAGTTGGCTGCTCAGATAATAACAGCTCGGATAGTAAAAGGTTTTATCATTTACTGGAATCCCAATCTAGTATCTAATACTCAAGCCTAGTCAGTTAGCATTAGGGTGAACCATGCTAGTCACCAACAGTTTCAGAAGGCCAGAAAGGCAAAAAATTTAGCTTAAAAGCTCATCCACGTAAAGAAGATTGGTTTTCTGCTGTCCCAATAAGCACAACTTTTACCAGAAAGTGGTTTTCGGGCGGGGGGAGGGGGTATTGTGGGTGTTTTTTTTGTTTTTGTTTTTTTTTTTAGTTTAATATTCTTATGAATAGCCATCAGCAGCTGTCTAAATTTTCAGTTCTACTGGAACAGTAGAATTTCATCTTCAGTATGCACTTCATCTTCAAAAAAGGGCTGTCAGTCAGAATCCAAATCCTGGATCTCATCATATCCAAATTCCTGTAGAACCTCCTCTCGGTATTTGTTCCATGTTCTTCTCTTGTAACATTGGTCCTCATCACTGAAGCTCTCTTCAGACTCTAAAGTTTAAAAGCATCAACACTTTTAGATTATCCCTTCTTTTTAGTTAAACAATTAGGTTAATCAGACTATTTTCAGCTTCTTGAGTAAGTAACAAATACAGAGTGTGAACAACTTCTGTATTAGGTGAGGTTTGAATTGTGCTTGGAATGCAGAGGGATGCGGAGTTAAGAAAGCAGAGGCAGTGTTTCACAAGCATGTGGAACCAAGTCATCTATTCCTTCTCAAAACAAGGAATCCTGTGCAATTGCAGCAGCCTGAAATAGAGTTCTAAATTTTGACCTTACAAAATCACTAAGATCCCTTATAGTTCCAAGAAAGATGATCCTTCTCTAAGCAAATTTAACTCATAAGAGCAGAACACTACCTCAGCAGTGCTCAGTTACTTTTTTAGAAAGACGGCATGTATAAATGGATGGGATTTATATGTACACAGCATGAAAGCAAACAATATTTCTGACAGGCATACCTTTTTCTCCATCACCATCTTCCTCAGCTAAGAATTCATCTTCATCAGGATAATCATTACGCCAGTTATTTTCATCATTTTCATCATCTTCATCTTCATATATTTCCCCTTGGACGTGATCATCATCTACCTGCATGTCAACACAAAACAACATTCACTGTAAATAGACATTTGGCATTAAGCTGTTTTTCATCCACCTATACAGTTCTATGCAGATCATAAAGAGGAAAGAGCTACTTACCTACTGCAACTGTAAGTTACCCAACAGTTGCACAAAGCACATTGTAGAAAAATTTGTGGTGGCAGTATATTCACCATAACATAGCAATCTGCTTTAAGTGAAAAATCAGTTACATCATGCATTTATATGTTCTACTTTCAGCATTTAAATGCTAAGGTTAATGTCTAAACTAATCCTATTTACTTCAGCAGTAGTGTAATGGGAAGGAAAAGAAGCAGCAGCTTCAGGTTCCCGATATGCAAGTCTACGGATCACAGTATGTATACAGTGAAAGTGTGAGGCTTACATTTAACTTCCTAACTCCACGGTCAATGAATGACAATTCTACTACAAGAAAATATCTTGTATTAAGATTAAAGTCAAGTCCTCAAATATTTAAAAGAGTTATGTGTCCCCCCTTGCTCCTTTTTTCTGTCAACCATATTTACAATTGCTGCCCCCTAGTCGCAAATGAGATGTGAATTGTTAACATTTGTTGCCAAAATTTATTTGGTGATTTAAAGCCAGACAAATTCTTCAGTGTACATGAGCACTATCCCTTCAGTTTTCATTGGCATATTATAATTTGCTTGAATGAACAGCAACCTGGAGGAACACAGGACTGGCATTTACAAAAAGCTTAACACAGCTTTAGTACGTGTATTTTACATGTAGTATCTCAAAAGATTTTTCTTGGCATGCCAACTTCAAATGATAGGACTTTAAGCATATTTATTTGTGACCCTTTATTTAAGAAAGATCCATTTTCCCACATCCTTACCAGTTCATATTCTTCTCTATAGGGCTGTACAGAAAGGATATTTTGGATCCAACCAGGGGCTGATGTTTCCATATAGTAGATGTCATAAACGTACTCATCTTTCTCAGGGTGTTCTTTTTTACCATCTTCAGAAACATTTAAACGCTCACGGATCATCTCTACTGCATTGCAGAGAATCACATCTGGATCAGTCTTCTGGTGAGAAAAAATAAAAAATAAACCATGTGTATTTCCACCACAGTCATGCACAAAGAAGTCTTCATTACAGCCAATGGTTTTCTTTGTAGATGATAGCCAACAGCCAGCTAAGGATGATATTCTGAAATCTTAGACCAAAACACTTTCTCATTGGAATGCTGATAGTTCCAAACCAGAACAGAAAGACACCAGAGAATTTTAATGTAATACAGCCAGCCATGCCTTGTTTCAGACATTAGGAGAAAACTTCTGGGACAAGTTCAGTTGAAACCACTGAAGGGGATATGACTAATCCCATAGAATGTTAATCTGTTTCTGATGACACGCTTATTGAAAAGACAAGTTTTAAGACAGCCTGTGCTTTGCAGAGCATTACACTTGGCAACACTGCAGGGAAGATGTCCATACAGTAGCACTGACAACATGCAAGCAGATTACAGTGCACAAAGTGTCCAGGAGAAACAATGAAAATGTGACAGATTAACAGGAAAAGGCAGACAGGCCCTACGATATGCTTCTTACTTCCTCACTTCAACATTAACACACAAGAAACTTCTTCATTCTTTCTCCTTCCTAAGAAATTATTTGCAATGTATTTGCTTTAGTGACCTGTATTTGAAGGTCTATACAGGCAGCTTTTTGCTGCCAGTCTTTAGGGCTTTTCAGAATATCTTGTCCAATCCTCAGCAGCATCTTCTGAACTACTTAAGTAATTCTGAGGCTACAGACCAGCCTTTCATTCACTTCTAAATACTTAAAGAATGAAAAAGAAAGCTTGCTTCTTGCTTTCAACACTGCTAGCTCTAAAAGAGTAAGAGGAAAATTCTGATTCTACCTCAGTTTCATTTCTGGCAGATCTCAAATGTCTGTCTGAACTACTTAACAGAAAGCAAGAGTTCATACTAAATTTTGATGGCAAAGCCGTGAAATAACCTATAAGAAATATTATTTTAGATTAAGCATTTAAGTTTTCCTTAGAGCTGTGATGGGCTGCATAAGTAAAGCATCCATCCGTACTTAAAGTGAAGGAACTAAAGCATACAGAGCCCTTTCACCTTCCTTTCCATACGCTTACGAGTCTCTTTATTATAAAATCTTTATAACACGCTGTATGCAGGGCAAGCCTACACAGAAGGCAGAGCTTCTTCGTACTTAAAACCATTCTAGATATTGAGCAGATATTCCTTCAACTAAAACCAAACTTGTAACACCAATGAAAACAGGACATAGGGGCTTAAGCAGCCTGTCAGAAACCTGGAGTTCTGCTAAAAACAAAAATATACAATAAAACCATATATTGGAATTATGAGAAGGGGAGGGTCAAAAGTATCTTTTCCTTTAACGAATCTTCCCTACAAGTGACGCTCCTAGGCACCTGGGTAGATGAAAAGACAGGGAATTAGATTTTTTTTCTTTTCTAGGTAGAGAAGTTATTAATCAAAACCCTCAGAGATACACCTGACAGATGAATGTGAGAATTTATACATCAGAACAGGGTACAGAAAAAAGGCGGGGGCATACAAGCCCTTTCTGCAGCCGCCGACTCCACACAGCTGTCACTCTCAACAGTGTTGGTACACTGAAGGATCCTCATGAAAGTTACTCCCTGTACAATATTCCAACTACAAATATACAGTTAAAGCTCCTATTAAATAGCAGAATACTTACAATGCAAAAAAAAACTTCCACAGCAGTCAGTCTGCCTACATGCACCAGTCAACAGTGATACAAAAGTATTTCAAGTACACTACGTTCATTTGCTGACCTGTGGGTTTGCAGCAGTTACACTGGAGTCTCCCACCATCTCCTCTTCTTGTACAATATCAAACAACTGGAACGTCCCAGAGCAGTCGGAACTCTTATCCACAGCACTGCTCTCCTTTTGTGAAGCATCTTCTGTTGCTTCAGAGTCTGATCTGTGACCATCAATCGATGTCTCGCCATTTACGACAGGTCCAACTGTCTCAGTACAGTGAGGTCGGTGGCTGGCTATTACACGATAACGGTTTTCCTTCCTTGTCACTTGCTTGGAAGAACGCAGTTCCTGAATGATTCGCTGAGTGCTTCCTACAGAGGGTCGCAGACTTTGAGCTGCTTTGTCTCGAGTGATCACTTCCTGAACGTATTTCTGAACTGGTTCATTCTGGGTAGAAGAACAAAAAGAAGGAGAAATATAATGACACCATCAATGCAGTAAGCCATACTCCTCCCTAGAAGTGATTAATAACGACTATGACCGGTGCTTCCTATTTGAGGACTACGGTACCATCGTTCCTAACAACATTCCAGTAACTTCTACCACTGCTTTAAGCAACACAAATATCACAATATTCTCTTAATATGGGTAAAAAAAGTATAAGATATTTATACATTGTAAGACTGCTTCTCTTTGGTTTTTAATCAGTATACTTTGTGGTACAGAATGACTCTGAACAAAAACACATGCCTTTGGAAGACCGCGATGGTCCTCGCCTGAAGGCATGGCATCCTTTACAGCCTCCTATACAGACCAGTTCCCAGGAGGGACCAGTTTTATTCAAGATGAAAGGCTGTACAGTGGATGAAAGCTGTTAATGTTGTAGGGCTGAGCTTCAGCACCCCTAACAGCAGAAATCCAGGCTTGAAACAGTCTGCAAATCCAGAAAAGCCCGTGCTGAGCGCAGCGCTTCACGGCAGTCCCGGGGAGATGCTCCGTGACTGACAGCCTGCTCTGCCCGCGGGTGCGCAGCGGCGGCCAAGGGGAGGCCGCCCAACCCCGGCTGTCACGACAGGTCGGCATCTCGCTGCGAGACGCCGCTCTCCAGGTCACTAGCGAGAACTTCGCATCCCCAAGGGACCCTGAAAGACCCGCCCGGAACAGCGCCGTACCCCTGGAGAAAGCCGGCAGCTTCAGCCCCTTCGGGAGTACAACGCAACGCCCCGGCCGTGCCAAACCGTCCCCGCCGCCTGAGGCGCGGCCTCGGCCCACGCCGGCCGCGGTACCTT